GGCTTAAACCAAGAACTCATCAATAAATACGTCAAGCGGTAATCAGGTTGGTTTTTCCAAACAGAACAACGATAAACATCAGCTATTAATAAATAGCTAAATTCTAATTTCTACCAATTCGCTATACAACGCACCAATGCCATCCATTATCATCAGCGAGTATCTATTCACAAATCCATTTGGTGAATCTCACCAGTCACGACTTTTCATTACAACTCCGTGAAATCCATTCTGCAGCCAGTCACTAATGAACACTGGATGAATGTGTGCTTCAAAGTTTCAAACTAGGATGAAATAACCGTCTAGCACTGCTTGTTTTGTAGTGGTTCTCTAGCTGATGTCATTTCATACCGAAATCCAACTTGAAATCAGTCAAACATCTCGAAATTAATCAAAAGTTAAGTACACCAGTAGGAATCTTAGGCAGCTATTTAAATTCAGTTTAATGCTCACACACAATCAAACTTGGGATTTTCAGGATTTTTGAGAATATCGGATGTTTTCTAGTCTACAAGATATTATTAAAGCAGAATTTCGCTGGTGATGAAAAAGGTTTATAAACTCAAGTAAGTAGATGAAGAGGAATCGAGATAAAGCAAAAATACAACAATTACTACTCATTATAAGCAACAGGAAATCGTTACAACGCACCATCAGTTCAATGTTAGAATGCTTCTCAACTACGTGTCTGATCTGATTTCAACTGCTGGTCGATGCATTCCTAAATATCTAGTCTTTACTAAACCAGTAAAAGGGAGGTTAGTTGTAAGGCCAGCAATACCACCCCGTAAAAGCAACCCAAAAATAACTAGTAATCTAGTTCTTTTAAATTAGAAATTTAGATTATGTAATAAAATTGTCTAGGTGTTTTTTTTATATCAGTGTTGTCATTGAAGTAGTTTCCATTCAATAGGACTCTACTAAGCATCTACCAGTATTTTGAACGAAATTCATAGCGAACCTCATAGAATATAAGGATCATCGATTTCTTTCCGCCTGTTCTCCTATGAAAATATTTTGTCGGATAACTTAATGTTGGAAGAAATATTAAAATAAACGCGATTTATTTCATTTGAATAAAACAAGAACAACAGTTCCCCAGACCAACTAAAAGATCAATATTCACTCGGTTAATTTTAAATTAAGTAGAATATCAGTATATATGGATGGAGATCAGTCGATGAAAGTGTCTGATTAATGGCCACTTTACCTACTGCTACTAAGTTCAGGTATCGTCTACCACTTTCAAAATGGATAAAAGTCGAAACATTCACCGTCTATCATTTTTTGAATACTACAATCTACCTGATAACATGAAGTAACACACAGAAGAAGAATGTGTAAGGTTTTCATAATTACATAATAGGTTTCATAATGGAAGTTATATATACAAGTTCAGAATTTCAGTTACACTACTTAAATATTTAATTCAGTTTAGATTTTCCCGTAGATTGACTGGACCGAAGTGGTGCTCGGTCTCAGGTTGACATGTCGACTACTTGTGCAGATGCTTCGACAATTTCGATGAGAAAATCTAAACTGAATTAAATAATTATTAAGACCCGTAACAGATAACTCTCGTGGCCCAAGTGGTCTGCCATTTGAAACTATTGGTACTGGGTTCGAACCTCGGTGGGAACATCATCACACTGCGGAATGCAGGCACATCCAAATGACGAGTCCCAAATAGGACGAAATGCGCATCTTGGATTCCACTGCTAGCCACCAATTGACTTCAAGTTACACTACTTAAAGTTTAAAGTGCTATGAAAGAAGATACAAAGGCGAAAGAACAGTTAGATGAAAATATGGAAGAAATTTAGTATTTGAAAGATGAAAAGAAGTTAATAAATATGTACCATTATCAGGAGTTTTGATTCACTTCGCCAACAGTCTGACAGGATTTCATGGATCCTACCTTGGTTATAAACACAAGCCTACGTGGTAACAATCAACAGATGGTGACTTCATACACTGGTACCATATTTTCATCTAACTAATCATCTATGCAGGTGGTGGCTTTGTATGGATGATACGCGCGGTAGCCATCTTAGTTGTTGAAGATTCTTTATCTTATCGAGTAATTTACCGTCCTTACTTCACATTCTTCATCTAGCCTTAACACTATTTACGATTTCGCTTCGTCTAACTTGAACTACTAAACAAAGGCAGCTGTGATTAAAGCTGTACTCTTTTCATGTCTTCTATATTCAGCAACCATGTCCTTGCAACTGTAAACTCCAAGAGAAAGAACTGTTGTTAGCCAAATACATACTTTGATGGGTAACCGGATATCACACTTGTGCCTAAAATTATGTGATTTGGCAATTCTCACAAAGGTCTTTACCATTCTGGCTGTGATTTCGACAGCCACTATTCCGTTAAAGCTGAAGGACTTCTCAAAATAAACGAAGTTGTCAGAATACCTACAGTCCTGTAGTGTACATTGAGCCTTTGGACTTTTGTTTGAACGCACTCACCCACTTTTTGGCACCTCTTCCTCTTTCGATTCGTGACTCTCCTGTACCCTTTAGGTTCCCTCTCTCGTTGTGCTTTCATTCAGCGCACTCTCCGAGCCTACCACGGTCAAGGCAGCAGATAAGTGTATAACCTCTTATTTTTATCAAATTTCATATCTCATTTGTGTAAAATATAACTCTTTTCCAGGCACACTTGCCATCCCGACTCTTTTTACCTTGTTTCAGTTCGTTAGTACTTGCACGTTAGGCAGAGTACAGCTAAGATCAGAAAGTGGTGATGAATAAGTTTTGTAAGGGTGGTTGTTTTAGGTCTACATTAAGCTAAGCCTAACCCTTACAGTCCCTTGAAACACTGCTTTAACAAGTAAATGACATCAAATTTTTGTAGCACTTTTAATATAGTTCTCAGGGAAAATGGAAGAAAACTGTCGTTAATCAAGAGAATCGTGTACTTAATGAAAGAAGTGCTGATGATACCACCACGGCTTGTGATGGAAAGTCTGTGATGAAAAACAAAGGTTAGTGAACAGCCAGTTGTTGCCCTCAAAGTCATCGAGTTGTATTTGCTTTTCTGACAGCACTGCTATTAGTTTCCACGAATTTTATAGACTTTATACACAGTTCTCCTACGTCATGCATAAGCATTCTCAAGAAATACTTTCCCACTAACTATTCCATTGGAATAAAAAGAATTTATTCACATGGGGCCTTATTACTGCACTAGAACCAGGATAATTTTTGTTACACAATCGTGCTACTTAATAGTGATGGCTAGTATTAAAAATGTTTGAAAAATAATTGAAGGGTAGAATGAAATATTTCGAAAAAAAGGCTTAAACACTTGCTTTACACAGCTAAAAAGAATTCCAAAGTATATATATGTATGTGTATATATGGAAATAGATTACATGTAACACCACAAATCTGGAACATCTGGTTAGACAGATATGACATAGAAAACTAACAATATACAAGGAAATTGATAACTTGATATAAAACAAGCTAAACTAGCTAACTTAAACAGTTGACTGTGTTGCATTTTACAGGTGATATAGTTACGTGTAAAAAGAGGAAGAGATTGATTACCGAACTCCTGTTCATCGAATATGTAACAAACACATGCATTAGCGAATAGTAGTGCCAATAAAAATTAAATGATGAGAACCAGTACGACTATGTGAAGGAAATCTGAAAGTTTTGTGAGCATCTTGGTATGATTATGAGAAATAGATCTTGCTCGACGCGTTATTAGTTAATAAATAATACTGCAACAGTGTTGTGAACATGGTTACACTAGATTTGGGTTTTCTCTTAATGTTACCTCAACATACAAAAATATACCAATGGTCACTCAATTACTACTCCCACACTGAGACAGAAATCGAGAACTGACTGAGAAATCAAAGATATTTCGGCGTAGTTGTGTTCCCTAAGCTGGATGGTTCACTTGCTAGGCTTTGTCTGACTTAATAGGCAACAATCTCAGAGCACACTTCAATTTAAAGTGAACTTTTAAATTTCGCCACGAGTTTATTCGTCATCTTTCCTGGTAACTTTGATCCTTGAACACATAAAAACAACCAATCACGTTCACGGTTACCAGGAAAGATGACTAATAAACTCGTGGAGAAATCTAAAAGCTTACTTCAAATTGAAGTATGCGCTGAGGATTTTGCCTAGTAAGTCAACCAAAGCATAGTAAGTGAACCATCCAGCTCAGAGTGTAACGACAGAAGGCAAGAGTCAGGCAACAGATCGTTTATTAAGGAAAATCAACACATATTTATAGATTTTTATGTACATTATTGTAGATTATTGTTAGTAGAAAATACAGTCTTTTGATTGGTTGTTTCTCACAGAAAGTTAACCTTGCATCTCTTTGTGGCTGTGTCAGATCATCTATATGCTAACTGTATCCGCCTACGCAAAGTCTGCTGTCCATCTTTCACCTTGTTTTCACATGACTAATATTTGAGACATAAACATTGACGTCAATTACTGTCTACCAATTTGGCTAGCAACCATCTCTCACCACAAGAGGACATAACTACACCGAAACCATCCACTTCAGATACAAAACTTCTCAATTATATCCAAAGCAAAGATATATTGCTCCAAAGTAAGGAAATACAATAAATAATATACAAATAAATCTCATAATCGCTGGCGACTGGCTACAGGACGAACTTGTCTGGAGGTCTAGTGAGGAGTTGCGACCAGTGACTTCCATCAGGTCGGATATGAGGTCAAGTATTCGCCAATGACATTACCTGGTGGCCTTTCTAAAACCGCAAAATGACAGGAGGTAGTATTGATAGACTACTGGATTTTGGATCAAGTGGCTAGTCAACGAGCTTGACCTCGTGACCTGAAGGCCCTGGGTTCGATCCCCACTAGAGTCGTGGATGTGTACTGATGAAGAGTCTCGAACTAGGACGGGACAGATGTTTTCAATGGTCCGCTGACTGACATCAATCCGTGATCAAACTTAAAATAAGTCATATCCTTGGACAAACAAACTCTTGAAAGATGCTATATCTGACTTATGAATAAATTTTGACATGAGTACAATAAACAGTCATTGAAAATGATAGAAAACCAAAATATGTAAATAAACTTATAAGCTGATCGTTACTTAATGAGATAAGCACTAAGCATTTTTTGTTTAAAAATTACACAATTTGAATAGATCTGTTGGATGAAAGTAGAAGAAATAAAATCGTTTAAGTAAAATGAAACAGTAATATTACTATGTTTTTATCCATATCACATGATTACATAACGAATATTGTTTTGTTAACAAATATAAAATTAACGAAATATATATGTATACATATATATTCCTCAATTTCACTTTTTCTTCTTCTTTTGTTTGCCTTTACCACTTTTCTTTCCACTTTTACTTTTCCCACTTTTCTTAGCACTTTTCTTATCATTCGCTTTGGCTTGTTTATCAATTTCTCTTTGTATAGCAAACTGTGGAATAAGTGGAACTGTACGCGTTTGTACAAGATGTTCAACTTTAGGCAAATCACCATTAGCAGCATTCAATAAAGCCTGCATAATAAAAGTAATACGGGATATTTCAAAATATTTTGTTGTAAATGAACTAAAGATAGCAATTGTTAAACCAATGGATTTTGTTTTCAATTTGTTGAATGTATCAAAGTTTTTGTAGACTTAGAGGCTTATTTTATCACAACATAAGTTAGAAATCTAATGAAAGTCAAGTGGCTTGAGACCGTTCAGCAGTTTTGACTAATATTGCCCTCCTGAAATAGGATTAAGATACTGTTTGACTATTTTAGTCACAACTCAGTAGTCATTGTATTTCAACTCATTGACTTACTATTAATGTAGCCACCTCATAAACTAACTGTCCTGATCTCAATCCATAGCGTACGAAATACTGAAGAATTTGAGACTATAACAGAAGGATTATTCAATGTTTCATGGCTTTCAACAGTTCCCTTAGTGATGTCAGATTTACTCTAATTGCCATTAAGGAATATGGCATTCAGTGGATATTATAATATATATATATATATAACTATGGTTCACTGACCCCGATTGCATTAATTATTTTTGAAATATCTGTTTCTCAACTAGTAATAGCAACCTGAGATTCTTCCAGACTTTACATCTTGAAAAGTTATGAAGGACGTATAATTTTGTTAAGATATTTCCTGCATAACACACCTAGACATCTAACTCCTAGGAGAAAGTACTGAAAACTGAAGTAGTGTTTCAGCTGAGTACTTCAGTTGCTTCTTGTCTCTGTTATACGAAGTTGTTTTGTGACTAAATTCCATGAAATCAGGTGAACAAAGTTTTGAATTTAGAAAGCTTCACCGAATGTTAAATCCCAAAAGAGAACCACATTGCTGTGGTGCTACCATAAACCATCCTGACAAGTCTTCCAAGTAATATTCATCGATATCTGCTAAAAACATATCAGAATACAAAAACGTACTGAATGGATATTTCCTAATCATTTACGTCTGTTTAACATTGCCAATGCAAAAGCCATTGAGACAAAGAGACCGAATGAATTACGTTTTATGCATGAGCATATCGCCAAAACCAGCAGGACAGAACACTTATTCCATGCAGCTCAGTTTTCACTAATTCTACAAATGATACTGATAGAAACTAGTATACAGTATCAGTGAACTTTTAACCATCTTCCCAACTAGATATTCGAAATGTGACTCATACAGTCTATTTCTTATTGTGCATTAAAATACGTTTGTTCGCAAAAGTCACTCTTTTTGGTGTACATATTAACAACTTTGAACAAAGCAACAACTACAGTTTTAGCAGAATAAAATGGTACCATCTTTTATTTCGTCGCCTTCTCGTCAGCTGCTTACATGGCAAAGACATTATTAAATGTATCTACAAAAACACTTTTAACATACTTGCACAGAGTTCATTTTAAACAAAAACCAGTCGATCAATATACGCATACACTAATAATATATACATATGTATATGCAATATTAGACACAATTCCGAACAATAATAATCATGAGTTTGGAACCATACGCGCGTAGTCCTGTGACGACCGTTAATCACTCAAGGTATATTCACCAAAAAATAGGCAACCTGGTTATTCAAGACAAGAAATTTATTACTAAGCATAAAAAGTAAAAGAATCTTATATGTCCACCCTAAGACTAATTATTTATTTCATCCCTTCGATTTCTGAGTAGAACAGAAGCCTTTAAACTTTGAAGTCTCAGTAGCAGTGGTGTTACTCTTTGTTTTTACCGGGTGGGATTGCTAGTGTCACACCCTAGCTTCCCTCTTTACCTACCTTAATAGCAACCAAGCGATGTTTTTGACTGTATCGGCCGGGGATTAAACCCTGAACCACCTGCGTGGTTGGCTCCCATTCGACTGCTGAACCACAGGCTCTGGAACATACAGTATTGTCCCTTCAAATAAGAAATTCGGTCAAAGTTAGAGTTTTCCTAACAACTTGAGTATGCTTGGGATGTGATTTTCTCTCATTAGGTGTAAGATGATGCTGCAAGATTGGTCACCACTAGCTAATAAAGTAAGGATACGAAGTTTTATGGTTAAGTGTGTTTATTACTAACAGTGTGGTTGCAGAATAAATTTCAATCAAGGATACAAAAATCTCACTTGACATTTTCTGACTTGTATCATCACTAGCATAAAAAGGACATGCGAGGTTGTACAGAAGCTTACTCCACTCTAATTTAAAGTCTGAGATATGATTACTGTAGGTAGAAGATTTGAAAAGATTGGTGATTTTCATTCGTAGACGCTTTCACTCAATCTCTTGTGTTATATAAAGCGATATGGTTAGTATTAGTGGGAGTAGGTGTAGTGTTTTATGCAAGGAGGAAGAGTCAATCGATTAGGTTGTGATGCTTAGTTAGCTGAGTTGGCCAGGATATATGTTACGCGTTGTAAGCAAACGCCAAACAAGACGATCATTGTCATCTGAATTCAAATTAAGCTTTAAAGTTTTAGAGATGGTCGGACTAAAAGTGACACCAATCCATAAATTCTTCGACTATTTTATTCGTTTGGGGCGCTAAGAATCAATGGTTAGAAACAATTTTTGACATGGAGCACGCTGACTTACTGAAATGGCGTAAGAGAAACATTTCAACTGATATACTACACGGTAAGAGATTAATTAGCTGGTGTAATATGACCATGAGCAATAAACTGTGCTCAAAAAGTAACCAGTGAATGGGTAATTCTATATATTACCTTATGGAATATCACATGCCAATATCCTTTTATCCTTCTATTTACCTATAAATAAATTTAAATTCACCTGGAGACTCACTCAACTAATTAGTCCACAGTTATGAATACTAACAGAGACTTAACCAGTCTACGCACTATTTCAGCTAACCAAGAAAATCTTTGAGTAAACTAAGGTTCCAAGTAGAATCCTTTGAAAACATTTAAATGTATTGCTAATTTACTTCAGAAGTCTAGTAAATAGGAGAGCGATTGCTTCAAAATCAAAAAAAAATAATAATAAAATTGTTGATGGAATATCAAAAATGTAACAACAACCATTATTGGGACTTACATTCCAAGTTTCTGAATTATAAACAGCTAAATCAATAGGTTTAACACCACTAAGGCATTCACGATTGATATTACCTCCGGACATTAGTAGAAACTTCACTACTCTTACATGATTTCCTGTGAAGTCATTCGACAAAGTGAGTAAAGAAAGTGTAATCACCTTTTGCAGCTAAATGTAATGGTGTTGTTCCATTTGAATCACATGCATTCACATTAGCTTTATTGGCTACAAGAAGTTTCACTGATTCGTAACTTCCATCTATTATTCATTTCAAATGGAATTTAAAAAAAAAGAAGAAGAAGAAGATTGCTTCCACTCATGCATTATACATACTTCCAGCTGCATAATGTAAAGCTGTTTTCCCAAAACCATCGAAAAAGTTGACATCAACTCCATTGGCAATAGATTTACTCAATGCTTTAATATCACCTTGACGAGCTGATTCACATAAAACTAATTCATTAGGGAAACCCCATGGCATGAATTGATTTTCAACTTTTTGATCACATTCAACTTCAGCGCTCATTAAAAATTTTAATGTTGTCTGTGAAAATGAAAGGAAATGAAATAATTGTGGTGATGTGATTTATACAAAAACGAATCTACAAGTAAACGTAGAGAAGAAACACTAACTTTTGTCCTTATAATAATAACACAAAAATAAATGTTAAGGCTCACATTATTATTACTATTATATCCTTGGGTTTCTTACCAGGGTACCTTTTGTCTATCCTTTCTGAATGGTTATCTGGTCTTCAGTATGAAGCCATAGAAGACATCTATTGACAAAAGTCTGCAGCCTATTAAAGTGCTTTTGGTGACACGGAAGGTAGGCCTTTGAACCACAAAGAAGCACTAACTTGACACTAGTGTCGAAATTCCGAATTTTGTTCTTTATACTGACTTCAGTAGATTTCTACACCGATTTCAGAGTAACGAAAGTCTGTCTAGCATCTTGAATCCTGTATTTGACATCCTCAGCTGTGTTACCACCTGTCGCTGCCTACTGATAATGATTAGTGCTTGTTGTTATTGATATTGATTAAGTATTGTAGTGACCCATTTTATTATTCATCATTGTAGTATACTTTCACTATGTAATTTGACTTTGATTTGTTTATCACTCTAAAGATTGCGTGTTAACAATTGATACATTTGTACTCGCTCAATTTTTGAATTTTGATTACTGCGATAATACACATTCCTACTCCTTCTCAAGTGCCTTTTAATTTACGTTGTGGATGTCGAGTAATCACAACGTTGGGACACAATAATAAACGCGAAGAAGTACTAGGATATACGTGTACGCTAGTTTGGTCAAATAGAGCAGTATGACAGTATCTTCACCACCTGTGCCCTATTCGTATTCACTTGAATTCTTATCTTTGCTGTTTTTTCCTCCAGCTTGTTATGATATTAGACATAAATCGTCGTATAAGGTCGGATCATCTAGAGTCTTCTTGTTGGTTCAACTTATGATCGTCTTCCCGCTTTATAAGGCCTGCCAAATGATCCATTCCACCACAAACAGTAATATCATTGGAGATATTAGATACCCTTTTCTTACTCCTATCTTTACAATATTAAAATTAGCAAATATGAGTGAGAGAAGCAAAAGTAATTAAACAAAAAACTGTGGTAGTTCCTAGAACTTCGCTTCCTGGTTTGCCTAAAAATGTATCAAATAGATGTTTACATGACCTTCATAGAGGGGAATTTCAAGACATTTTAAAATATTTGTGACCTATTACATTAAGTAAAATCACCGTCGCATTAGAGGGACAACCGGCTAACATACTGATGGACTATAGTTTACATTTGTATAACAGTGCGTTAGGTGAAGTTGGAACACTTTGAAACAACATGCATAAAAAGACAAAAGAAGTATAGCAGTGCCATAATAGGTACACCTGTATGTGAGAAAAACAGTTTAATGGAGAAATTTGGAATATGGAAAGTGAGTGAATATATTTATACCACTATGAATGATTTCTAGCCACATCACGAAATGTCTTTTCCAACTTATCCTCAACCCCCATGTATCTAAACCCGGTATTAAATTGTTGTTATTGTTCCCTTGGGTTGCGAGTGAAACATAGGGCTTCAGAAGCACGTCTCTATCTTATCCTATTCTCTGCGATCTTCTCTAGTTGTTCCCACGATTGCTCATAGTCTCCGACCTCCTCCATGTCACCCTTGGGCACGCCAAACTCGTTATTTTTCATTCGGGTTCCACCCGAGTGATGGCCCGTCACGCGCCATCACCCAACGATCTCCTCAGCGTGTGCACAATCTATCTCCATTTTCTTCGTCATATTTGTTGAGCAATAGGCTGTCGGCTAGTTTGTTCCCAGAGTTTCTTGCTACTAATTCTTTTTAGACATTTGATCTTCAATAAGAAACCAGTGAAGGCAGCTGTTGATAGAAGTTTGCGACCCATTGGAAATGACTTCCGTGACGCACAGTTGAAGTATCTGACCCACATAGAAGAAATGATTTGAAACTGGTGTTGAAAATCCGAATTTTGTTGTTTATGCTTGTTTCAGAAGGCTTCCAAACATGAAATGATGTTTCCTAGGTATTCGAAGGAAGTAACTTAGTTCACATTTCTTCCATTGATAGTGACTGGTGCTGGTTATTGTCGCTGTTGGTTGGTTATTTTTAACACTGGATAACCGCCGCATGCTTCCATGTGCTATAACATTAGGTAACGACTTCATGGATTAGTACCATGTTTCAGTCTAACTGCAACTTACTCTTTTCCAGCCAAATCCTACTTCATTTAAACGTTCTTATCGAGAAAGGTGGTAGTTAGGTGTGCATAATGAAATCTAAAGTCAGAGTAACGATATCTACATTGTATTTAGGCCAGTAATCAATTTTAGGCAACTGTAGTGCAGCTACAGAAAAGTTTAGCTGCTCCTCAAAGTGTCCCACTGAAATATTAAGGCGCATTTCCTAAGGAGTTGTTAAGGTTCATACTACTTAGAAATGCAGAAATATGACGGCAAAAACAAACTTTATTGGACAGAGATGGGAAACATGAACCAAATATTTTGTTCTCTGTGTAGTAAAAACAAGTGTTGGTACTTAAAAATAATAAAACTTACACAAGTGCCGCGAAGAAATGTTGATTAGAACTGATTATATGTATCTGAAGCAGCGTGATCACAACAAATAAATTTTATATCGATTTTAGGATTTTAAATGCCATGTGCATCCATTTTATGCTTTATTTGTAAACTGCATAAAATGAACAATACATTTGATGAGCGCTGATTCATAGTGGATATCCCAAATTCATCAATAATGATATATAGTACATTTGCCAAATGATGACAGTGGTACACAAACATAAATTAGCACTCACTTGGTGCACATTTGAAATGCATGTTGCCGTAGTAATAAATTTACCCAAGAAATGGGCACATATGTTATGCCACCATTTAACTTAATTCAAGCATTTCTACAAATACCAATACCAGACTTTCTTTGAAGTCTAACTTGTTCGTGTCCACTGTGTAATAGCCAAACGGTACCGTCTCTTTCAGTTTGAATTTGTTGCTAATATACAATCTTGAAACCTTATGAATGTTTTTAGATCCAGCGTTTTTGTGTGTGAGTAGATAGTCAATCTAGGTGCCTTAAAAGTACAAGGAAATAGCTGGATTTTCGTGGATCTCATTAGAATCAGCTTTGGGTTCGAATCGTCACAAAATGACAAAAAACATACAAAAATGATGGTAGGAGTGGTGGTTTTATGTTAATAAACATCAGACAAGGGATCTGGCTGTCAGTATATATATATATATTCATGCTTTAGGAGAATAAACAGACCGAAGGAGGAGAGGCGACTTAATTTTGGCTTACCGTATATTCAAGGGTGATTTAGGGATTGACCTTTCAAACCTCTTCTCTCCCTCTAGGATACATTTACAGGGTCACCAGAAGAAGATGCTCAAACCAAGGTCGAATAAAATACGTTTGGAGTTTAGATTCTCTCACAGAGTGGTCAACGACTGGAACTCCTTACCTGATTCGGTAGTAACAGCTCCATCGGTGAACGCTTTCAAAGAGAAACTGGATCTCTGCAGAGATATATATCGTGAGGATTAACATAGGCAACAAGAGCCTTCTATTCTTATAATCTGAATCTGAATCTTCACAGTCCAACAGTCTTGACAAAAACTGGCAGTAAAAGCCTCTGGAGTACTGCCACACTTCAGGTAAAAAAGTATCAAAAACTTTGGGCACATATGTGCGTGAAAGACGTAGTTGCAGGAATTCCCCCAATTAAGTCTCTGCATTAAATAGTCAAACACTTAAGTGTTTGCAGTCCTGAGCTTATGATAATTCTACGCTAATTCTGAAATAAAGCGTTGGTCGTACCGTTTTGTAGTACATGAGTATACTTGTCCCAGCTAGCATTTTCTTCGGGGGCACTGCAGACTTTTCGGGGCAAAGATCTTTGGGCGCAATGCCGTTCTTGAGTATTCGCCCCGAAGACTGCCCCAAGAAGTCTGCAATGCACCCTAAGTCTGCCCCAAAAAGTCTGCAATGCGCCCTAAGTTACTATTATACACTACAGCCTGGTGCACCGCGCCTACGGTTCCGCATTTAACCCGCAGTCGACAACTAACACTACGTCAATTCTATTACGTACACAGGTTGCTTCAATGAACAGCAAGTTCGCAGCAGCTCAACGATTCACGATATAAGAAAAGAGTGGATTTTAATTAGAAATACATTTAACAACATTTTACAAGGAATTTACAATCTTTCGACAAGTCAAATAAGTAAAACATCTTATAAATCCGCCGAAAAAGTCATCCGTGTGCTTTCTGCGTCCACACGTATGGACCGAAATAAGGCTGGTAGTGCTTGAATTCAGGTAGTGATGTTCAAAATAGCACTATAGTGCCATAGTTCGCCTATATATAGGCGCCTATAGGCGCTTAGACAATGCGAGGTCAGTTACGGATCGGGTCTCAAAGAGCTTGGATGGCTCTGACCCAGCCAGCAATTTTTTTGGGGCAGACCTAGGGCGCATTGCAGATTTTTTGGGGCAGTCTTCGGGGCGAATACTCAAGAACGGCAATGCGCCCAAAGTGTTTTGCCCCGAAGAAATGCTAGCTTTTTGAGGAATAAACCCAGCACATAGTGCTAAGTTATTACCAGAAGTACTGATAACAAGCATCGAGTTCTATTATATCAGGGAAGCCGAATAATTTCAGAGTCATCTATGAATTAACTCACCAGAAAAAGCAGGCGTTAATTCAGAATTTGTGAGCTTTCCTCGAGAGTTACTACAAACTTGGACTTTGGGATGAATCTAAAACGACCGGTTTAGATTTATTTAGATTTATTCGGAGCCATGGAAAGTTCTAACGGCAAACTCTTTGGATGAAATCAAATTAATTAAAAGTTGTTTTAGACTGTGCGCAACATGTTGTCATGGTATCCAATATCCAATATCCAATATCCAATATCCAATATCTTTTTACGAGCTAGTATAAACCAATTTGATTTCTTTGCGCTCGCCTCTTGATTGTAAGGTAGAGGTTCCTGATCTTTGGTAAACGTCTGTGTAGCTCGTCCCGCCACTCGACTGTCGTAGCTTTGGTTGACTCCAACAGGAGTAGTGCTGGGATTAATTATATGGCGTCTGTAGTATGAAGTGTGTTAAGACTGTTACTACTGTGAATGGAGTTGATCCTTTCACCAGTTAGTCTTTCGGTATCGTCGTCAATGGAAAAGAGATAATAATAATAATAGATATAATTAGTAAAGGTATTCAGACTAACAGACAGAGAAAAAAAAATAAGAAAACGTAACAACAGTCAGTCAACCGGTATACATATATATATATATATAATATATACCAGTAATAATGATAATAATAATAATAACAATAATAATAATAAGTGTAGTTAAAGCTGTCAGGAGAGTAAGACTGAAGGGAATGTGAAGAAGTAAAACGACCAGTTTAATTGTCTATCTTTGAATGGTATATGCGATTTTAAGGGGATAGGCCATTTGGATACAGTCCTTGTGTCACTGCAAGGTTGTCCAGCCTTCGCTTAAAGGCGTCCACAGATGGTGCCATAGCTACATCTGCCGGTAAGGAATTCCAGGGACGGCAAACCCGCAGGGAAAAGAAGTGGGAGCGCACCCGGGTCCTTGCCCTCTGATGAGCTATCCTTCTGGGATTTCCACGAGGGAGCCTATACCTACTCAATGGCAGAACACCTTTGTTCGGGTGATTCTGATCATTTGTTATTTTGTAGGCAGTAATTAAATCCCCCCTCAGGCGACGGTAACTGAGTGTGAATAGGCCTAATTTCTTCAGCCTTTCGTCATATGGTTTATTTCGGAGTCCAACCACTCCTTTTGTTGCCCGTCGTTGGGCTCTTTCCAAGAGGTTGGCGTCTCTTTTAAGCAGTGGGGGTGCAATGATATTATGCACTTCAAGATGCGGTCTGACGTATGTTTTATACAACCTTAGAAAGAGCTCAGGAGTGAGTGCACCTAATTGTCTATGTGTAAAGTGTATGACCGCATATGCCCTCGCTACATCCCCCGTGTAATTCACGCTTGTGTCCATTTTCTCCGTTAGAACTAGACCTAAGTCACGTTCCGACGTTGAGCAGGACAAGCTTTCATTGCACAGGGTGTAACTTGCATTCTGCAGTCTACAGGTGCGTAACTTCACTACTTTGCACTTTTTCAGGTTGAAAGTCATTCCACTGGTTACCGCCCAGTCTTCCAGAAGCCTTAGATCTGCCTGCAGCCTATCTGAGTCCTCCGGACACTTTACCGCCCTCCATATCTTTACGTCATCAGCGTATAGAAGAGTCGGGCAGTTTAGACGGCATGGTAAATCATTGATAAAAATCAAGAACATCAGTGGTCCCAGGATAGAACCCTGCGACACTCCTGATGACGAGCTGTGCCAAGATGATCGGACTCGGTTGACCTTGGTGCAAAATTGCCTTTCAGTTAGGTAGTCCTTCAACCATGACAGAAGTGGTTTACCTAGACCTACCTGGCTTATTTTGTGTAGGAGAAGGTCATGGTGAACAGTGTCAAATGCCTTCTCAAAGTCTAGAAAGATCACATGGACAGGAACATTCATATCCCAGCATGATGTCCAATCGTCCCAAGCTGATAATAAGTTAGTGACGCAGGATCTTCCTTTCCTGAAACCGTGTTGGGCTTCATGGAGTATTTTAGACCTATCCAGATATTCCCTGATGTGATCATCAATAATACTTTCCAGTACTTTCGATACCACTGGGAGTAGAGCTACTGGTCTATAACTGGTGGGATTTTGCCTATCCCCACCCTTGAAGATCGGAGAAAGGATGCTTCTTTTCCATTCCTTTGGCAGTTTCCCCGATTCCATGGAGTGTTGGAACAAGTCGCATAAAGGCCTACAGAGAGCTTCGGCGCACTGTTTCAGAACAGATGGCCTGATGTCATCACAACCTGGGGACTTCCCAGGTATAAGTCGCTGCAGCTTTCTCAGTACTATTGCAGGGTTTATTTGAGGGGTGGCTATTTGGTCTTCCTCCTGTGAAATAGTCATGCCACCATTTTGGTTCGTAACGGTAATACCCACATTGCTGTTTAGCTGTTTGGCGAAGGCTAAACTGAATGTTTCAGCCATCTCCAGACTAGTGAGATATTGACCGTTTTGGCCTACTAAGGCGCAAGCCCCTTGGTTGGTTGGTTTCCTTTCCGACATGAATCGGTACAAATTCTTCGGGTTTGCCAGGAGTTTTTTAGCAAGGTTAGCCTGGAATGACCTTCTGTCCCTCCTGACTCTTGCATTGCACCGGTTCCTGAGTTCCAGGTATGCATCATGGTCGATCTGGCTTCCAGATACGCGCCACGTAAACCAAGCCTTCCTCTTTGCTTGCAGAATACGCTGCGTGCCTCTCTTTAACCATGATGATTTTCTTTTTGGCTGTGCTGTGACTAAAGGGACGGTATCCGAGATCGCTGTATGAATAATCTTTTTTACCGCTTCCCAGTGTTCATCCACAGACAGCTCATCCCATGCTAAGGGCCAGTCTGCATCGAACAAGAGCCTCCGCATTTCAGCGTAGTCAGCCTTGCTGTAACACAGACATGGTTGCGTAGCGTCCCACTGCAAGTGCTCACGGAGAACGAGGTCGAAACCTATGACTGCATGGTCACTACTTCCTAGAGGAGTCATGACCTGGACCTTTTCGACGAGTAGTTGGTCACTAGTTAGAATGTAGTCTAGTTTTGATGACTTTCCACTAGGGCCCCACCTAGTGTCGTCTCCAACATTCTCAGTCAGTCCCGTGTCCCGAATAGCTTGCAGTAGATTTCGGCCGAATTTTCCCTTAGCATACCCCGAGCCAAGGTTCAGTGATGGGGCATTGAAATCTCCAGCAATGGTGATTTGGTCATAGCCCAAGTCTCGTATCCCTGTGATAGTGCTGAGCAGTAGCTGATTGTGCTCTGCCCCACAGGTGGGAGATCGGTAGATGCCACCAAGTAAATGCTTGGTGTGGCCTACGGTGAAATGACACCATATGGAGTCTGGGAGTTCAATAAGTGGTGGGTCCGTTGCGCGAACACATTTAAGTTGCCTATCAAAGTATATGGCAACTCCCCCTCCTTCCTTATTGTCCCTGTCTCTCCTGACCAAAACCATATCACCTATACTGATTTCATTATCGGCGATAGTGGGGGTTAGCCATGTTTCGGTGAGAATGATTATTTTCAGTTGTAGGTGTGCTTGGAGATTTCGGAGTTCACCTATTTTTACTCTCAGCCCCCTCACATTGCTATACAGGCAGCTGACAGTGAGTCTTACAACCTCAGCGTGTTGTGGGGTAGTTGACGTGAAGCTATCTGCTGGTAGGGAACTTAGTGTTGGGACTAATTGGCCAGTTCCGATGGAACCGGCCCATTGTGGTTTTTTCCCTTGGATTTAGGCAGGACACTTGGGTGGCACAGACTGTTATTCTCAGAACTGCATCGCTCGAGTGTCACTGAAGCTTGGGGACGTATTAAAGCCTCAGTTTGCTGCCTCCTTATGGTTCGAGGTCTGCTTTCGCAACATCGGATGTTTCCTCCCAATTTCCCCTTGATCTCATACCACCGTTGAAGTGTTATGGCCAACTGCTCTGGGGAGTTGAATGTGACACTAAGCAGCCTTGGGGAGCTAATCAGTGTGAGATGAGCGGGGCGAGGTAGTCGGTAAACGGAGATGGCTCCAGAAGCGCCAAGGGCCATCTGAGACGACAGCCATCTCCACTGCTGTACGTCATGCATGTGTTTTTCACAGGCAGTGCCCGTTTCCAGCTCCGGGACACCGTGCACTACCATAGAGGTGGAAGGCAAAAGTTCCGGTGACTCCCTTGCCATTTGTCTGACAGCCCATGGTCTGTCTTGTCTCACCCTTATGTTAGAGCTTCTGTCGATGGCTAGTACCTGAGCCATCAATAGTACCTTTTCGGCCTCTTCGGCAGAGTCCAGTGTAACCCGTAATGGGGGTGGCTTACCTTGAGGTGTGTGGACACCCCTGTACAGCCTGCACAATTTCACTGAACTAATATTCAGACCTAGTTTATTGCACAGGTTGGACCACTGTTCCTGATCAAACAGGGCCCGCTGTTCAAGCAAGCTGTCCTTGCTCACAGGTACGTTAAAGAGGATGAGCGAATTAGACCGATTAACCTCAGACTTAGGTTTGGCCTTTGGCTTCTCATATTCCTTTGCAGCATCAGCAACTTTAGGCTTCATCGGGTTCTGACCAGCCTTTATTGTGTTGCCAAGCTTGCTTGTGGATGCAAGTGGTGCTTCTCTAACTCTATCTTTCCTTGATTTTTTAGGTCCAGCCTTATGAATCTTCACCTTGTGAAAATTGGCATTTTCGGTCAGTAGGACAGGAGTGTCCTTCTTACTGTCTGTGCCAAGTTTTGGCAATGTGACGTTAGCAGGTGGGGAGCTACATAAGACCGTGTTGGGACACAAGGGCGGCGTGTTGTTTCTGCTAACCGCAGACACGCTCTGTGTGACTACACCAGGGCGACAGAGTGGACAGATGTACCAAAACCACGGGCATGGGTTATTTCTCATAAACTCGTAGTATGATTTCGGTACCTCTTTGTCGCAACGGCAGTGCACCCACCGTTTGCAAAAATTGCATTCGAAAGCTGAGTCAGCTTTAGAAACAATGATATTGCACGCCTGGCACTCGTCTCCCTTACTTGGTGACGCCTTCGAGGTCTTATGACGTCTTGAGCGTTTCCTTTTAGGTTTGTTGTACTTCACACATTGGCTTTTAGTTGGTGCAGGTGTAGTAGTATCCTGTCCTACTAGTATTGCCTGAGCCGTTTCAGTACTAGACTGTGGCACTGCAGGCATAGTATCCGGACAGACGAGTCCTACACGGGTCTTTAGGATGGGTATGCAA